AGATATGACACCATCAGATTACCATCCTTTTCGTTCGCTCCAACACCATCTTAATGGGAAAACGCATGCAAATGTGGAAGGTGTTAAATAGAACATCGACATGTTTTGTGCTTCAAAGACAAGTGATTTCTTTAATCAGGGCATTAACAACCTGATTGTAAGATGGAAAAGCTACATCGGTAAGAATGAGGCTATTTCATTTAATAAAAGTTTTGTTTTGATATTTAAGTTTTTTGGGTTTTTCATCTAAATGAAGTGACATTAATTTCTTGATGACCTAATAATTTCTTCTATTAATTGGGTTTATATCAGTCTTTCTAGCGGAACATCAGAATTCAAGTCGCTGTTTGGCTTTAATTTTAAAACCCTAATATTACTGAGAAACTGTGCCTTCAAACTTAACGTATACACACGTTTTGTAGAATATTACTAAACCAGATGGTACTGTGATATTCTAAGGTTAAACTGGTTTTCGAAGAGTGTTAGGTAGGTCCGCTTTATAATGGGAGGATTAGCAAGATACAGTAATGAAGTGACGCTAAATTTCTAAACTGGCTGAGTTTTAAGCTAAGACATAAAGAGACTGTACACGATGTTTAACACTGAACGAGAACAATATTTATTTATTCGAAGACAGAAAATACAGTGTGCATACTTGCATTTGGACACTGAGCGGTTGTCTTCAACTTCGAGGGATTAGTGAATTGAATAACAGATTTTCCTCTCTCGGGAGGTCTTACCGTCCAAAACTCATTTGAAATTCATGAAAGAATATTTACCCATAGTGACTAGCGTTACCATATGATTGATCATTCTCATTTAGCATAGGAGAAGCTTTGACCTCAAAATATAATCTGACCTCCCAGTGAAAGATGGTGTTGTCATATACATTCTTACACAGCATTCAGTGTTACAGCAATATCATCCAAGGTCAGAACAGGTACTGTCTCTAAAGAACAACGAAGAAAAAAGACAACTAGGCTTAAGTCAACTCAACGGTTTTCTGTACTACATGTTATACAAAAACTACATAGATTCAGGCTAACCAAAATAAGAAGGTAGAAAATGCAGGGTATATCTGTATACCACACTTTTTCCTCTTCCCCTTCTATTTCAGGCTTTTTCTCAAGTTGAAAATTAAATTTACCTGTAAAATCTATAAACTTTACATTCGCGACATGGTCAAAAAGCATATGAACTTTCTTTCACCCTTTCAAATGCTTACATGCAACATAGACGACACAATCCTTAAACAAACAACTACAACTTACAGGTCAAAACCATTTAATTCAGACTTAAAAATACAACATATAATAATAATATAATATACAAATATATACGTTAATATAAACACGAAACATATTTACTCAATAAAACTAAAACATACTACAAACTCCTTCAAACCATGAAACAGCATACACAAAAAGAAAATCCTTTAACACAGAAAAACACCTGATACAAAAATAAACTTTTTAACAAATACGCAATTACACATACATATACAAAATACTCTTTAACATATAAAATATATCTAGCAAACGTACCCGCCCCAGTGACGGAAAAGTTTAAGTTAATCTATCAATATAAACTATTTCGTGGACTTCAAAAAGGTTAATTGTGTTGCACTTGTTGCGTCAGCGAGTCACATGACTACTGTGGCGCCCTCTAGTTTCTAGAACTATCTTGTTCTTTCATGAATGCTCTA